AAGATGGGTAACGCACCCCTGGGTGCACCCAAACCCCGAGCAGAAAGCAAGCCATGGCCAGATGGGAAACGTGCACCCAGTAAACGAAAGATTTCCCAGAGAGCTGCCAGAAGTTGCCCCTTGCGATGAAAGCAAAGCTATAGCTTTGCAGCGACTACTTACCTCTCGCTCTGGTGGACTGTTCCGAAGGAGGTGAGGTTTTCTGTGAATTCCCCAATCTTGTCTGCTGCTGTATTCCCGGGAGAGTCACAATGGAAGTCGTCATCGGGCAGGGTGGGAACACAGTCTTCCCCATCGCTGTCGATCTCCGCGTCGATGTCAAACACTTGGTCGCTCTTCTTAAATTTGTCCAACAGGGCTGACACTGACTGTAGGAGAAGCACAGAATGGTTTGGGGGGGAAGGGACCTTAAAGATCACCTCCTTCAGAAGAAGGTGCTCCGGAAAATAATCCTGCAAGGCTGTCGGCGGCCCTGCAGCGCAACGTCCCGCTGCCCTGCGGATCTCGGAGCTCGCTCTGGGGGTGAGCACAGAACGCAGCTCAGGTACCCCACCTGGCCCGGAGCTAACAACCATACCTCACCGTGGGATTCGGCATCCCACTCTGTAAACTGGAAACCAGCCAGCGAAGAGCAGATGGGGCGTTTTTCAATGCACTGCGCTAACAGGGCTAGAGACAAAGAGAGAAAGGGGGAAGAGATGAGATATAGGATGAAGCAACCAGCACCTAAACCAAGTGCCTGGCACGAAATCATTCTTAAAGCCCCATAGGTAGGCGGCCCTTCTTGCACGCAGGGTGACACAGGGCTCACTGCAAAAGCAGTCGGGCTCCTTTCTCAGCAGAAAGGGAGCGTTCAACTGCTGCCCTAACTCGAGGGTGGGCATAATGCTGGGAATCTTATCAGAGCAGCGGGGTTTGGCAGTACACGCAGCTCATGATGCTCATAAGAAGGTCAGGCCTTAACCTGGAGCACGCTAACCTCAACTGCTGCACAGCTCCGTTGCTGTGTGACAGATCTGCCGGAGGTGAAGCTACACGTGGTGATCTAAAACCTGCCAAGGTCCTGTTTTTCTAGCAACCGCTCTCAGCTGGAGCAGAATCAGAGCCACGGTGCCACAGGGTAGCCAAGCAGGGAACAAAAGCACAAGTCAAGCTGGCCGAGACCAAAAGGAGCACGTGTGGGAGATGAAAGGGATCGAAAGGTCTGGATGGGCCCCCCCCCCACCCCCCGCCTTAGCACTCACGCTTTAAATCCATCACTTCCACAGGATCAGAGTTCGGCAGCGCGAGTGTCTCTGAAGAAGGGAGAGGCACGATCTTGGAGTCAAAAAGGAGCTCGCTGTGGCAGCTTTGGGTATGCAGCGTGGTGAGGAAAATGCCAGCTGTGCTGCACTCATCAAAAGACGCGACTGTTTTCTGGAACATGGGATCAATCTGCAGGTATGGAATGAAGCAGAGAATCAAGGAACGGAGCCAACCGAGGGGGGGTGAAGCAGGTCTCTGCAGGAGACTTCGAAGCACAGATCTGAAGGGAGAACGACCCACACGTCATCTTCAGCAAGGGGAGAGCTCTCACAGGAGGAACATCCGTGACCGGGAACAACCTTGCTGTAACAGCAGAATTCACGGACGTGCACGTGAACGTCAGAGCCCGCGAGAGGAACGCACAGTGAGAATAGAAATGAGAAAGACGAGGCGACATTTCCTTTCCTCCACCAGAACGGCGCTGCCACAGCAGCCCCCCCCTCCACCCACCTCACACCGGCGGTTAGCCTCCGACACGTTGATGTTATTCAGGTTCTGCTCGATGGTTTTGAAGGAGGTTTTTTTCTTTGTCTGAACTTTCCCGACAGCCTCAGGAGCTGGATTGTCTTCTAAAAGGAAAAGAAGAACGAGTTACACTTAGAAAACTTGCTAAAATAGCCTCAGGAGGGATGGCACAACTTCTCTTTCAGTTTGTCCAACAAACACGAAAACCCCGTGGGGATGAAGTTACCCAGGTAGGCAGCTATAGCATGAACCACCAACGTTTCATTGGCTGGATGCTGCACTTCCTCAGATCGACTCGATTTTATCTGAACAGCACCTTTTTGTTTCAAAGCCAGGGACGGCAAAGAGCGGGGCGCCTCATTCGTGACGTTTCAGATTAGGCCACCCTTGGTTTGCGTTTAAATCCGACGGGCCAAATCGCTGAATGACAGGATTGAGGAAGAAATTCAGGTTCTCATCTCAAACCTCCCTGCTCAAGCGCCCGGGCAAACAAATTTGGGATTTCCCAGCCCTCGAAAAATGAAGTTAGGGGTGCTCTCCCAGATGTACAGGCGCTTCGAAATTCACGGGTGCTGCGTAAGTACACGGACATTTCTCTTGGGCGCAGGTGGAACGGGAAGAGCTTAACAGAAAAGGAGTGAATGGCACACCTCCTTTTGGGCTGTCCACGTTTTTCGTAGGTGCCAAGTCCTTGCCCAAGCCTCCGAGAACTTTGTACGTATCCGCATGGACCGCATCCACGCGCACGGCGTAAATCTTCGCGCTGGCATCGAGCGTGCCAGCCGCGACCTGACAGGGGGGACAAAGTTAGTTAGCAAGGAGAAAGTTCTGATCTAGAAGAGGCAAACGCAGAAGACAAGCTGCAGACCCGAATTTCTGAACGCTCTGTATTACAAAGCAAAACTGTGAACATCTGCAGAAGGATTTATTCTGAAACCTAATGAAGTCAAAAGAGGGGAAGTGCAGGAGATTTTCAGAAGGCCAAGAACCACCTGCTGAAAACCTGTGCACTGTTTCCCATCCCTTCCTCAGTCTCACCAACCATAGGACAGCTAGTTCAGGGGTTCCTTGAGGCCACGGCCAGAAGCCCCACCATTTGTTCACTCATCCACGAACTCAGATCTCCCTCCTAGCAGCAGTCAACTATTATAGTGAGTAAGTCTTTGCCCTGGCAAGTTCCATCCCGGATCAAAATCAGACCGGGAGTCAGCCACACTAACTTCCTTTCTTTTCCAGCCTTGTCTTCTTACTGGTCTTAACACCCAGTGTGTACCTCAGTAGCCTCACAAGTCTTACTTTTAAACAAGCTCTCCTTCTGAAGGACCATAACTGAAAGAATTCAGCCTTTAATTTCTGTGGTACAGAAGGACTCAACACCGTAGGATTCTGCTGTGCTGCCTCTACCAGTTATTTTTAGTGGCAGTAACCAGCTCAGTTACTTTAGCATTCTTGGAGGTTTGTTATTGACTAAAACTGAGGCTGAATGCCAGTCAGAAAGAAAGCATCACCGTGACCAGGCAGCGATTCCTCTCACCTTGAAGTTGGTCAGTTCAGAGTCCTTCTGTTTCAGGACTTGGGTCATATAGTCTATCAGGTGTAAGCCAAAAGCATTCTTCGTGGTGATTTTCTGAAACAAAGCACAGCTCAGAACTGATCCCCTGGCCCACGACACCCATCAACACTCTCTGAACCCTCATCCCGCGGGGGTATTCCCCGCAGGATACGCTCCGTGCCACGTCCTGCTTTGTTACTACTGGGAAGGCAGCAAGAGAAGCCCAGATTTGGCCGTGGCTCGGATCAGGGAGGTGGCTCAGAGGGTTTGGGAGAAAAATAACCGCGTAGCCAAGGCTCAAGGAGTTTAAAATCCCTCCTGGACTTGCAACAGCTGCCAGACAGAGGCGGTGTGAGAGGGGCCGGGGTCAGGAGCCCTCCGCGACTCACGTTCTCGGTGGAGAGCTTGATGCAGGCGCTGTAGTGGTCCGAGATCTGAGCGTTGCTCCACTGGGGGAGGGCCGGCAGC